AGGGGAGAAGGAATTAGGACAAAAATGGGAGTGGGAGAGGATGGAAAAAACGGGAGTGCAAGTCTCGCTCCAAACGAGCCACCCTGCTGTAGCAGCTTTTATTGCCTGCCTGAACAAGAACCAGCATCGGGGAGCCCCTGACTGGGCCTCTGTAACCAGTTTGGCCAGTTCTTATTTCTCCTACCTCTCCATGCAGTTGGACATCTCCCTGTACATGCATTACCCACCTGCGGCTGCTGCTCAGCATCTGTTGTCCCCACCTGGTGAGGTGCAGTGGCAATGCTGTTCTCAGTAGGAGGTGGTTCACCTAAGGGGTTAATGCATTGTACACACCTACCAAGCATAAGCATGCAAGCCCAAGTAACTCACTGGATGTCTTCCAAAAAACGCTTTCTTAAGACAGAGACACCATGTCGCAATCAGACGATGAGCTTCTCACGAGCTGGTTGCAAAACCTCATACTTTTGGGGCAGGAGGTGACTTTGGAAACTGCATTTTTAAAAAGTTCAAAAGCTCTGGCAAGACTTCTGCAGGCAAGTTCAAGGCCTTGGGAAATCAAGCATCTTCAAACATTGTGCCTACGTCTAGGCGTATGCCTATGTACCTGTACACTAATGCAACAGGCACACTGGTGTTATAACATGCCCTGTTTTTTATTCTCTGGCCACTTACAACTTCAGTGAGAGCAGAATAAACGTGCAAATCAGTCATGCATTAAGTAGCATCGCTATCACCTATCACGTGTTTGTTCACTTATCCTTTCTCCAAGGAGAGGGGTGTTTGTTCTAGAATTTTACATGCTGCTAAACATTTATGCCAGAAATGTCAAGGTCAAAGAAAGGTGCTCTTCACTTGCAGTAGGTGCTGGCAAAATCTGAGATAAGCTCCCAGAGGAAAGGAAGCCTACTTCACAGTCATGGCTTACCCATGGAAAGCAAATACCTTCTGCACAGATATACATCATTCCCTCATCTGGAGGGCTACCTCGTGCCAGAAGAACATCCCTGTCAACCCTCATCCTTTAACCCACTTCTTCTGATAGTCTGAGATGATCTGTTATACCAATGCCCACTTCCATTGGCATGGTTACATTAGAGGCAAACTCCATATCTCAATTCTGTTCAAGCCCAGTCCTCAAAATACTAGAGGAGTAGCTTCTTCAATAATATTTTAATCAAGATTATTAGTATTCTCTTACTTTGCTCTGGCCAAATGGGAAAATAGAGTTTGATTGTGTTTTTTTAATTCAGTTATAAATTCATTAAAAAGAGTGAACACTTCATAGGATACAAAAGACCACATGTGTCTGCTGTTACTTTTCTCCACATGTCTTTCTTTAATTGCATTCTGGGTCACCCATTATTACTTTTTCACCCACTGCAGGCTATAAGCAAAATGACAGAAAAAACATGGCAACACATGCTTGATAGGGTGCTATTCTTTCCTGTTTCAAAATTTTAGAAGTAACTTTAATCCACAAGCTTCCAAAATGCACAAAACCAAAATAAGTGGCTTTTTAGAAAAAGAGGAAATCAATCACCAATCTCCACTGAAAATGATCTTCAGCTGAAGAACTTTTCATTTTGACATGCTTAAATACCACAGAATTAACACTGCATACAGATGACAAAAGGCTCACACACTCACCAGAAGTTTTAAAAAAAAATAATCTAGCAATGGAAAAAAGCAAGTGTATGGAAAAGGATTGTGTCCAAACAATGAAAGGATTATTAGGAAAGAAACTTCTACACCTATTAAAGGGAAAAGGTATATCCTACCGCAGGTGCAGTCACTGAGTATATTAGAGTGATATTTTATCTCCTAAATAATGAAGAAGGGGGATTAGGTGGAGTTCCTGTTCATTGTTGAGTAAGGCTGTCCACCTTTTTTCCGTCATCACAAACTCATATTTAGGAAGGCAGAATAGTGAGGAGGACAGACCCTGCCTCTTCCTGCTGTTGAGCTCTTTGCTATACTGTTCAGCAAGGGAGACTTCCCACTGTTTAAAATGTCTTTTCTAATCATTTGCCCCTCAAGGACAATCAGAGTGTTTCAGCATGGGGCTTTGCCCCACTATCCCCGATTCCTTGGGGCAGTGATGGGCTGACCAAAGCCAATGGAGATATCCATTATTTGGCAGGTCTGTAAGTAGTTTTCCTTGGATTCGTTGCTCTTCAATATACAACATTTTAGGACTTTAAAGATGGAAATGCACAAGCTGAGAATGGACATGGAATACGTATGGCTTTATCATTTAAATAATTGTGTGTCAATTATCGTCACTATACTAACCAGGTCAGTCAGCCATGCTCTTCTGCTTGCAGCTGGAGGGCACTGATTGCAGATGTAGTTCACACAGATGACTCCTCGTGGGAAGAAATATGTGGGAAGCCCTGGTTTCGATATGGTAGTGAAGATTATGGAAATCATTACAATCAATTGGCAGAGAGGTCATTTTAATTTATAATGAAACCTACGAGTAAGTTTGATGCATATATGTGTTCATAGGGGGCATTTCACTCTGCTAAAGTGGATTGCAGCATGCTTCGTTTCTTAGCAGCACGTTCAGGAAGAATCAATGAATGGGAGAGTGAGCTGAAGGACACCTAGGTAATCGCTGGCGGTGAAATCTGGCAGGCGAACAATGCCACCACTCACAGACACATTACCAGGGTCACGGCAAGCCTCAGAGCAAGCACTGCCTGTGGAGGTCAGTGAAGAGTCAAACCATATCTTACCGGCAGAAAGAGGGAGAAAGGGGAATTTTAGTCCTTTTCTACTTCTTCAAACTCTGTTTTCTCAGATAAGCAGGAGTTATGAGAGCTAAGGATCATTATAAGATAGTCTTTGACCCACAGTATAGAATAATTGTAATGTTGGCTACAGTTGTGTTCATTGGGTTCTATTACAAGTCATGTGGGGCAGAGCTGATTATAATGTATACCTTCAGTCTTTTGTTGACTAACAGTCTTTGTGGCCAACTCATGCATGTTCCACTGCAAATGTTTTTGATAACACTATTATAAAGGCTTGTGGATGTCAGTGTAGGAGGGCAAAATATTTTGAGCTGCTTAGCTTCATTTTATAAATATTTTTGGAAGCCACCAATATGAAATGCTCCATTCACATTCAGCACTGAAAAAAATAATGGCTTCTTCTAAAACAAAGACACATCTGTCAGTGCACTAGAGTATATGAATTTATGCAATCTGCAGCACAGAAAAAGTACTTTCTCAAACAAATTAAGTTGAAGCAGGTAGAGAAAGAACAGCATGAAGCTCTCTATGCAATGTCAACAATAATTAACAGAGCACTTTACAGTCTGCCAGTGCTTTCCATGAGTAAGGTATTCTCTGGCATTTGGTATGAGCAGGGTGCCCTCCTGCTCCTGGAACCCAAACCCGCAAGTGTTAGCTTTTAGCAGCTAGCCTATCATTAACTTTTTAAATGTTGTATGCCACCCAACATTTCCCCTGGGGGCAGAGGGCAAGAAGACACTGTTGCAACTGCTGCAGGGCTTCCTGGGGTTTGCTTTGCCCTCTGTGTCATACTGGCAAATTTGGCGGATTTGCTTCTTTCTCACATGCATCAAAATGAAAAAAATAACACGTTACACCACACACAGCCTGTTAATCTCTTTTTTATTCCCGAGTTTCCTTGTCGGTAACTTGGGAGAAGGCAGCTTCCCTGTTTCCCTTGTGGATGCGTGCAACATTTGCAAGTTTTCTTCAACTCCTACTGATTCTCCCGGGACACAGACTGCAGACATTTTGCAGCACGGAGTGTCTTCTCTCAGGCTGCCTGTGTACAAAATGCAGAACTGATCTGAGCCTACTTTCGCACACAGCATTGTACTGCTCCCGTACTTCCGATATAATCGTGTTGCCTTTGCATGTACCTACAGATTAAATTTTCAGTGTTGCCACAGAATGGGACTTTCCTGCCATCTTCCCTTCTTTACAGATGGCAAAACTGCAGCTTTCTCTAGAGCTGAGGAATTGCCACAAGTTTTTTCCTTGGAGAGTGATTGTGACCGATTTCTTCCACATATAAGAGTGCTCACACGGTTGTCAGGGAGACCACTGTTGGCACAGCTTTGCCCTGATATTTGGAGGGCTTGGCCAGTCGATTGCTTTTCAGTGGATTGTGCATTCGTGCAGATGCGATGCAGCACGCTGGCAGACTGACAGACCTGACTTTTCCATTTGCCAGTTTGAGCTCACGAGCGTGCACTACCTCCAAACTACAGCTGTGAGAGGTGGCCAGCATACCTCAGCCAGCGTTATTTGAACTAGTTTGAGCAGCAGCACAGTAAAAAACTGGTGACCAAAAGTGAGGTGAAGCCAACATGAGACACAGGACTTATTTGGAAGGTTGGCCTGCACTGTGTGTATTGCTGCTAGTAGCTCAGCTGGTTGTTTAAACTAATCCAGGCCAAGCTAAAATGCTGTAATAATGCTTCTCTGATGCCGGCGTCCTTCGTACAGTACAGCCCTGAGCCCAGAAATTCCCATCAGCCTACAGTCTGTGCCATTGCCCACATCTCCTCTGCAGACCTCTGCACTTTCTTCCTTCCCCTCCTGCAAGCTGTGACCAAAGCCAAATCAAAGCCAGCAATCACATCCCCTGAATTGGTGTAAAGATTGAAAACAAGGATAATAAGCTTTGCACCAGCTAAGGCTAATTAGCGTGCAGGCAGTCATTTATGATTAAGCCATGCAAAACATTTGCTAGGAGCGCAGGAGCTGAATGCTATAGAACACAGCAAAGGCTCAAGGCACAGAGAAGTTAAGTGACTTGCCCAGTTTGACACAGCAATTCAGTGACAGAGGTAGAAATAGACTGCTCAGTTCTCTCTCTCAAAACAGATCTAATCTCTAGATCATACTTTGATCTCACTTCAGTAGCACAAAATAAAACCCCCTCTGTTCATGCTATAAGTCATTACAGAAATTACTTTCAAGTTACAGGCTCACCATTATCACATCACTGCAAGATCAAACAAAAAAGAGGGCAGTAGGAGAGGAAAAGAAGGGTTACTTTGTGCCATTTATTTCCACAGTCTGCTCAACAAAGCCAAAGAGGAAAAACATTTTTTTATTTTAGACAGATGCCTTTTACAACACATCAAACAATTCTCATGGGCGTATGTCAGAGACATTTTACTACAAAGGCTTTGTCCTTTGCATTCATGGCAGACCGGATGTTTATCTGGATTTTCCATTCCCTAAATTCAAGATCAAATTGGGATCTCCATTAAGAGAGTGGCAGAAGTACATCAACGAAGTCCAAACTACACAATCATTAGTGAAAAGAAAGCATTAAATCAACATGTTCCTGTGCTAAGGCTGTGGTGGGGGGGGGAGTTTCTGCCATCTCAAAAGGAATTTCTGGAGAAGGAAACAGCCTATTTTCAATGTGCTGGCTTTGAAGGAAGGCAGTATGAGGAAACAGTTGCCTTTCCTAATGGATTTTACTGCTAGTAGATGTTTAAGTCCTCCATGCAAAGCCTGTGGCCCAGAAATCATGAAGACAACATTGTACTAATTACTGCATGACATCACACACATATATTGTGCTCTCCGCATGCCCAGAGCAATGCTCCAATTTGTTTATTTATAAGTTCAGTTTGTAATTCTCTAAATTATCAATCACAACAAAGAACATTACACACAGAGACAAACAACATTTAACATTGTGACATACTCTTCCACTCTTGGGCCAACATTCAACAGCATCTTGCATTTCCTCTCTCCTCCCTCTGCCCTCTGGTACACATTGTCTCAGCCCCCAGAATTCTATGGTGGCTTTCCAAAAACTCTTGTATCCTGCCTGAATGAGGCCTTCTCCTTTCTAGGAACAAACCAGGTCCGTGCTGTTGTGCCAAGACAATACTCCCAGCTTCTCTGCAGGCAATGGGCGACAGTACGGGATGGTGCGCACCACTCCTGCAGGCTGATCTGCTCCATTCCATGGGAATGGCCAGGCCTGAAGGTTTTCCAGTCTCCAAAAGCCATCACCAACAGCAGAAGTATCAACCACCTGTCCCCAAGCCCAATTCCTCCACTCTTTGCACTTAGGCTGACACTGACCTCCCACAAGATATTCTGTCCCCTGAGATCACTGTAGATTTAGATGCTTCACTTGACAGGAAATTTCATTGTGAACCAGGAGGACATCATTCCCCTACACTTACAGCAGAAAAAGAGGATAGGCAGAAAGAGCAAAGAAGTCTGAGGTCCTTTAATTTGCTTCTGTTTGGAATACCAAAAGTCCCTCAATTCTTCTCTATGCCAATTCTGTTGTAGATTGGAGTAACTGTTCTTCAGTTCTACTGGGTGACCCTGGTTTCTCAAGAAGGTAATCCACCAGATAATCCTACACTTACTGTCTGGCTCCCACCACTACTGTCCCTTTATAGTCTCATACAGCATTTTCCAAGTATCGGCACATCAGTTCGTCTATTATCCTTGCTTTCACCACCAAAGAACTGACGGACCCACCCATCAGGCTCCAGAAAATGTGTGTAGCTGTATCCACAAAGAACAGGACTCATGTTTGTTAATGGTAGCAGTAACTCCCTCCCCAGTGAGTTTGAACAGCCTCCCCCTCCAGGTTAAATCAAAAAGCTCTAGTTCTCCTTCAAAGATGCCAGTGGATGGATGTGCCACCCCAAAACTCCCACCTCTCAGATCATATACTGCTTATGTGAAAATGGTGGGTAAGCTTCTGGCAGCTTTTGCAGTTCAAAACAGGCTGGGGAAAAGCAGCATGCAATTTTCTGGCAACAACAATATATGTATTGGATATATACGCACCCATGAGTCTATCTGTGATGTTAACTCAAACTATAACAACAACAACAACAAAAAACCAAAACCAAAACCCCAAAACAACCAACCCAAACCAAACCCCAGGCTTTCCTGTGTAGTAAAAAGAGTGTTAAAGAGCATGTGGGAATTTCATCTGTTTTTACATCACACTTAAGTTGGCCCTAAGCCCCTTCCATAGCAGGTAATTAGGACAGATATGTTAGCAGCAGCATCAACCCAAGGCTGATACTGACTGCAGATATTGTAATACATGAAGATGGAGCAAGATGAAGGTGAGTCAGCAGAATAGGTTTGTCTTCTATGCAGTGCCCTAAAATTTGGCTATTACAAGAAATTACACTAACAATGAATCACTGCTCTGTACACATCATTGTTTTGTACAGAATTTTTCCATGGTGAGGAAGTCCTTGTTAGGTTTTACAATTTTATGCTACACTTTTATCTCAAAACATGTCCCAGAGCATCCAGCTGACCCTGTGCAGGAAAGTATTAGAAGTACATGTGAATTCTATTCTCTCCAATAAGAACTCTGAGTAAGGCACTCCACAGGTACGTGTAACAACCCCTCCATATTCCACCCGGAAAAGACAAAATAGTTTGCAACAAGAAATTACAGCAAAGAAGTTGAAAATAACTGGATCAATGGAATGCTCATAAAATGGAGATTTATCTCATGACAAATGCACAAAGATTGCCTGGATTTTTTCTGAGATATTTTATTTTTTTTTTCCACATAATTTGTTTGCTAGTGGACATATTTTCAGAAGGAATATTCTCATTTTAAAATGCTTACATTATGATTAGAATTGCTAAGCTTGCTCTGCTCTGGAAACTTTAAAAAACATCCTGGCAAATTACTGTTTAAAAAGCTCCCAAGATTTTAAAGGTTGAAGGGGAGGTAATCCAAAGTCATCTGTAGCAAAACATGTTTAAAATGTATTTAATGGCTATTAAATGTTGAAAATTCAGTACAGGAGATGTCCTGATAATAGAAAAATCCTCCCTCTTGCAAATAACAACAGTAACGAGGCATTGTTGCACAAGGGGAAAAAGAAGATAAGCATTTCATCCTGAATATTCTTCCCCTTGGACAATACAGCCTTTGGGAAACGGTGATATTACCCAGGTCTTTAAATAGTGAAGTTTCCAAACAAAAGGTTGTGAAAAAAGATTTGAAGAAACTATGTTTATAATTAATGATAGAGCTTGGAAGAAACCCAACAATGAAAGCAATTCTTGTTTTCTAACCTGGAGAACAAGCTTTCTGTAAACACGCACAGTGAAGGAGATTACCACAGTAATGAAGCAAAGCAATGAAGTGAAACAGGGTACACATACTATACTTGAAAAGGTTTCAGACTTTCAGCTATTCTGAGCCAAAATGCAAGCTATCTAGCACAGATAGATTTGGGATGTAACGTCAGTGGAAATCTGTGGAGACAGCCTTGCTGTTACATCAATACAGCTCCATGATCCCAAAATGATCCTGCTTCCATCCATAGCTATTCCTGGGTGGGACATTTCTACTATCTTTCCAGTGTCCTGTAAGTCAGCACTGCATAGAACTGAGGTAGCTGAATTGCATTTGTTCTTTTTAGCATGTGCTGTTTTCACACATTCACTGCTAGTGCTCTGAATGAAGCTTTAGTCTAGCTATGGAGGAGGAAGAAAAAAAAAAAAAAAAAAAAGTGGTTTCAGTTTTGCAAAAGCCAAACCAAAGCTGTTTCAGTTCCAGGTCCCATTTTTTCTGAACCCTGAAAGTTAAAGCCTGGGTGGTTTGGATAAGTGCTTCTAATTCTAGCATACCCCTATTTAAAATAAGAGGGAGGATTTGTTTTTAAAAAGCTAAAACTAGGATGGTCTGGAACGAAGTCTCTGAAGACATTTAGGGAGGATTCAGATAAACAATTCCATCCTCCCCCCACCTCTTATATATCTCATGAATTTTTATCCTATCCCTTCCTTGCTTTCTCTCAGATATTGTTTGCTTTCCTTCAATTTCCAATGGAGCTTGAAATTAGATTTCTTTTACTTCCTTGTTCTCAAACAAAGCTCTGAACCTCACATCTTGGCGTAAGTTAACTCCCAGACTGAGTCACTGAGTTACCTTCCACCTCTGTACCTGATCTGGTTGAAACCATGCAACAGAAATCACCATGTATCCCTTTTTCTATCTCACACCATCATTATTTGATTTTTGGAAGGAAAATTCTGATTTTAGTTGGACAGAAATAGAACCATCTAATTGTAATGATTTTATTCCCAATTTATGACAGCAGAAATTGGCCCACAGTGTGACTCAAGATAGAAACAGTATTAATTGTCACAATTTATAACTTCATCAAGAGTTAACTTGGGAACTGCAAGCTGGCAGCAATAATTCATACATTGCTGCAAACTGTGTTTTCATCATTTTTGTTGATCCTGGCAAAATGCTTGTTTTGGTTTTCTGCATGTTGCAGTCATTAGTATAACATAGTATAGCCACTCATATATTTAGGGGAAGGTCACTTTTATTCAACTGATTAGGTAGTGGGAAGTTAAATAAACAAGCAAGTAAGAGACATCAGCAATCCCACTCCTTGATCCATGCCAAAGTGAATTATAAGAGCTGGTTGGCTCAATTAAGGAAAAGTCAAGCAGTGATTATATCAGATGGAGGAAAGAGGACATTACATTTCCTTTTACTGGAGGATTACCTGGAACGCTGCTCCTTGATAATGGCTGCATACATCCGTAAAGCTGGAGGTGTTTAAAGACAAGCTAGCACGTAGTTAGTAACTATGACATTAGCAAGATTACTCATCATGTTCATAACAATGAAAATTTCCTATTGAGAATTCACTGAGCAGAAAGTAACAGAATCATGACTATTTATTTACAGCTGTTTGGAGTGCCTTTCCAAGGCATGAAAGAACACTGTCCTTGAAAATTATATTTGGAGGGAAGTAAATGTCCATGTTTTTCATTTTGCAAGTTTGTAACCGTAAAAGTTACAAAACAAGTCACTTTTGAGAAGTACTCATCTTTTACGCTCATTAGATTGCAATCCAGTGATGACTGAACATGATATTTAAACAGTAGTGTTTTTGCCAATGAGTTACATGATCAACATGAACTGCTAACGTTTTCTATTCTAAACCTTCTCAAAATGTCAAGTGTTCTTGTCAGCTGAGTGGAAGTGGCATAAAAGTAACTTTTGAAGTTGCTGTTGATGAGATACCCTTGGGGAACTTAGTATTTATACTGAAATCATATTCACAATATGCTCTAATCTCCCCTGCTGCAGAAGGATTAGACTCTTAACTCTCATTTCCATTAATGGCAATGTAGCACAGCCTGGGTCTTCCTTCCAAAAAAGACACTGGGCATTCTTCAATACCACAAGTCTTATTTCTTTAATTTTCTCAAACTGTAAGAAAATAAAAACATAAACAAAGGAAATTTCTTTTGAAACTTAGTCCTGGTAACTAACTTTGTTACAACCGTCATAATTGCAGCATTGTTAATTTTTATTACTTTTTTGACACAACAAAACTCCAAAACAGCAAAGAAATTGATAGTTGTCTGAGTCACACTGGCTGTAGCAGACTCACTTTTTCTTCAGTGCCAGTTTCTTCTGCCAGTTAAAACATCAGAAAAAGGTGAGAAAGACGGTGCATTACCTGAGGTCCTTGCCAAGGATGCGGAAGACCTGGGTTCGTTCCCTGCTCACCCATGGTTATCACGTGTCATACAGAGCTATTTCCAATAACATACCAAGGAAAAACTTGGACATGCCTGCCCAGAGGTCTCACAGCCTTGCTCAAGTGCCTCCAGAACTCTGTTGGCATTTGTTAGGCACAGTTGTCCCTCTTTGTTTTCACCCTGTTGCCCCAGGAAGGATCATGGGCTTCCAGGCTTTTGCCCAAAACCAGTGCTGATGGTGGATGTTACACTATTTACAGCAAAAGCCATGAGCTAGTTTTCTTCTTAAGTTTCAGTGAAGTAAGATCACCACCAACATTGTATTTCCAGCACTGTGGGCCTTACATGTTGACACGTGTCAAGATAAAGTATTTTTTGGAGTCTCTTTCTTGACTAATGAACAAACTTTTTTACTCACAGTATTTTCCAAAAGTCTAGTTAGAGAGGTGGATCTTTATGGACTACTAGCAGAGGGACAGTGTGCTTGTGATCAATGTCCCAAAGTCTCTGCTCACTCACTGAAAGGCAAAACTGGTATTTTATGCTGTTTTTTTCATGCACAAATGTCTGATTGCAGGAACAAATAGTAGTATTTTGGACAGGGAGAAGTCAGTTTTCAGGTTTAGCACAGTTGATCCAGAGTAAGTTCAGTGGCATGTAATTTGTCACAAAGCATAAGTGTTTGTGAAGATGAGCTTTTATACATGTTTATACATGGATAAAGTACAAACAAGTAGGGCGGAATTTGGTATGTATTTTATTATATCTGAGTTTGTATCCACATTTTTTCATTTGACCTGTAGCAAATGTTAGGATATTGATTCCATTAAATAAATATTTCAAAATTCGAGTGCTTTCAAATTGCTAACTGCTCATTGTCATCATTTAGTAACAATCAGTCCCAATGTCTGTGTAACAAGTAATCCATGTCTAAACTGGTTTTCACACTGCTGAAAAGTAAAAGTTCAAGGATGCTGGAAGAACAAGTAGGCCTCCAAAAACATTTCAGGGTCATTTCACATGTTTGATCACGCCTGCTATTGTAACTGTGTTATTCACTGCCGGATTTAAAAGCCTGATTTCATGCAGGTAATATCATACTTTACAGCACCGTAGCCTCATTTACACTGCATTCACAAACATAGCAAGTGGGTTTAAAAACACACAGGGATATTCAGCAAGTAGGTTAACCCACATCCAGAGATGTCCAGAATGTGGGTTAAGTACAGGTAGAAGAGTACAGCTGCCACATCCAGGTCAATGAGATGCATCTGGGTTCCCAGCCCATCCTTACCTCAGCTGGCTTCCTCTGTAAACCAGGCAACTGGGCCAGTTGGTGTTGCTGCTTTGCAGCTCAACCTGCAAGCAGAGCATTTGCACTCCCGTTAGCCCTAACTACTTAATACAGTCTTGACAGTAGTGAAGCCTGGCATTTTGCAGTACTGACTCACTACCACGAAGTATGAAATTAATCTTTAGAATATCACATAAGTTAGGAGCTTTCTTCATTGGTAACAAGGATCACAAAACCCTCAATAAACCACAGATCCATAAATACAACAAAAACCATACCACCAGTATGAATTTTTAACTGAAACGTCAGAAGCCAAGGGACTGGCTAGAAGCAAGAGGCTCCTAATGATTGTACAAAATAATCATAATCTAATGCTCATAATTTTCAGGTGATCTATTTAATCTTCACACGCACCCACAATGAAGGAAAGCAAAACAATTCTGTCTGGGCTGCATAGGGACTACGAGGCAGCAGGAATATGGGATCTGCCCAGAGCCAGCATGAAGAGCCTGGAATGCCTGGCTGCCAGCCCCGTTCTCAAAATACATCACTTCTTTCTAGAGGCAGCAGCTGTTTGTTTGTTCTCTGACACTTATAGAGCATCTAAGATTATTTCCATTGAAGATAATAATCTGTCCAGTCCAGTGGGAACAAAATTGTGTCATAAATGTTTAATCTGGTCCAGTTTCACTGAAGAGTCCTGGTAAACTCATGGTTGCACACCACGCTGTAATTACCAGTTTCAATTTGGGAAGCTGACTGGCACACCATGAAGGCCGGGACAATAGCACAAGAGCTGTGAGTTCAGCTCTTTGTTCTACCACAGGAGTGGCCAATCTTCTGGCCTGGACAATTCCTGTAGCCTAAAATACGGCTGACGGTTATGCACGTCATGAATCCTCCCATGCCATCACTGGAGGTGTGTGCATCATGCAAGCAAAAGGCAAGCATTTCCCCAGCCCATGACTGATGCATGCACTGGAGACATGTGAAAGCACAAGGCCTTAGGAACAAAGGCTTCTTCTAGGATATGGACATCTCTCTGCATTTCAGTTGTGTGATGGGCTTGTCTGTCCCATGAGAAAGGGGACATTTTGGGGTCAGTCATAGAACTGTAGAATGACTTGGGTTGGAAGGGACTTTAAAGATTTTGTAGTTCCAACATCATGAGCAGGGACACCTTCCACCAGACCAGGTTGCTCAAAGCCCCGTCCAACCAGGCCTTGAACACTTCCAGGGAGGGGGCAGCCACAAAGTCTCTGGGCAACCTCTTCCATTGCCTCACCACCCTCATAGTGAAGAATTTCTTCCTTGTATCTAACGTAAATCTACCCTTTTTCAGTTTAAAACCATTACCTCTCATCCTATCACTATGCTCTCTGATAAAGAGTCCCTCCTCATCTTTTCTGTAGGTCCTCTCTAAGTACTAGAAGGCTGCTCTATAACATCTCCCCCAGAGCCTTCTCTTCTCCAGGCTGAACAACCCCAACTCTCTCAGCCTGTCCTCATAGGGGAGGTGCTCCAGCCCCCTCATCATCTTTGTGGCCTCCTCTGGACCAGCTTGGTCAGGTCCACGTCCTTATGTTGGGGGCCCCAGAGCTGGACACAGCACTGCAAGTGGGGTCTCACCAGAGTGGAGCAGAGGGGGAGAATCCCCTCCCTCGACCTGTTGGCCACACTTCTCTTGATGCAGCCCAGGACACTGTTGGCTTTCTGGGCTGTGAGCGCACATTGCTGGCTCAGGGTCAGTTTTCCACCCACTAACACCCCCAAGTCCTTCTTCGCAGGGCTGTTCTCAACCCACTCCTCGCCCGGCCTGTATTTGTGCTTGGGATTGCCCTGACCCCTGTGCAGGACCTTGCACTTGGCCTTGTTTGAACTTCATGAGGTTTGCATGGTCCCACCTCTCAAGCCTGTCCAGGTCCCCCTGGATGGCATCCCTTCCCTCCAGGGTGTCATCTGCACCACACAGCTGGGTGTCGTCAGCAAACTTGCTGAGGGTGCACTCAGTCCCACAGCTTGTGTCACCAACAAAGTTGTTAAAAGATGTTAAACAGAGACCTAAGGTAAGTGGCAAAGAAGACGTCATAGACGGGAGGAATTGTCCCAGCAAGCAGGATCCAGATTTGAAGCCCCAGGTAGGATTTCCTTGTTATGCTCTGGTCTTTTTGTGAGACTTCAGGCAAAACATAAGCATTTAAATTTTTCCACAAAAAATTACAGATTTATTTCTTTTTTTAAACTGAGATGTTCACCAAAATTTGATCATTTTAAAGCAGCTGGTGGACAGTATCTTGTGACTGCAAGAAAGACCCTCAGTGCTTCAGACTTTCAGCAAGTTCCTACACAAGCAGGAGACACGAGCCACTGACATTTTTATATCAAAAACTGTAGCATTTAAATGATCAAACTAATTTCTATTGAAGAAATTTGTTGTTATTATTGGTGGGTTTTTTGAGCAGAGGTAGGCAGAGTGAAAATAGACGTCAATCTGACCGCGTATTACAAACATTTTCTTTCTCTTGCCTTTCTTACCAGATCTGGCTCTTTCTATATGTCCATAGGGCACAGTGAAATGCCTATACTGAGGCAATCTTGAGTTGCAGGCTAGCCACTTCGGACACTTGTCACTGAAAAAATACAGGTACCGTGAAATGATAATAAAGCCCACCTAAAACTCCAAAAATGTGTCAAACAGCTAATTCTGGGTCTTGTAATAACATACAGTTACCACGTAAAGCCCAAGCCGTCTGCACATTGACAAGATGGTTTAATCCAGTAATAAAGTGGGCTAAAATGATTATTACAGCTAATAGTATTTTTAACTGAAGTGAAACTATAGAAAAGAAGCTACACAAACATATTGATTTCAGCTGTGCCTCCCTGACAAGTCTGTATAGATTTTGTTATTTATGGCCCATTTTTCCAGAAAGAACCCAAGGGTCACAAATGTAGAAATCCCTGGTTGTACAAAATGGATGGTTGTGCATCAAAATGAGGGATTTGCATGTTTAACTGCCCATATTTGTATCCTTCTACCCAGTTTGCATATGCAAAGGCAAAGATTGTTATATTTATCAATGCATAAATGAAAGGAGGAGAGATAAATGACCTGGTTTGCAGAGGTGCTGAGCACATGCAGTTCCCATTTATTTCAACTGGAGTGTGAAAAACAGGCCCTAAGTGACTGGCCCAAGCTCACACAATGCATAATTGCTTGTGCCAGGAAAAAAATCCAGAAATCCTTCCAGTCTAATCCTTCCAGTCTAAACTCTAGACACAGCCTTTCCCAGAAAAAAAAAATACAAAAAAAAAACCCAAAAACCCAACAAACAAACAAAAAGAAAAACAAAACACCACCAAAAAAACCCAACTCTGTACAACAGCCTGACCCCTCTCTTATTCCTACCTTAGCTTGCTAAGAGAATAAAAAAAAAATGGGACAGGAAAAACTCCTGCATAATCTTTAATGACTAGCAAATAATGCCAAGTAGGGTAAGTAAATATGTGTGAAGCATTGCTCACACACCCAGCAACTTGCATGTGTGTCACAGATGGTTTTAGTGGAGAGCCAAAAAGAGAAAGAGAAAAAGGAAAGGGAAAACAAGTAACAGTCCAGATAAAGAGTAAGATAGGAAGAGAAACAAAGACATATTCTAGTATTTAAATAAATAAATAAATCCCTTAAAAATGCTACAAAAAACAATGATAAAAAAACCATAGAACCATTCTCTCTCCTTGATAACATGTAGGCTAATCTCTACATAAATAGAAATAACAGCCCTTTGAAATGGCAATGATTTGCTTGGAAAACATTCATTAAAAACGTCCTGCAATTATTGACTCTATCATTATTTCTTGGCAGCAGCTGAGTCTCACTGCATCTTATGTTGTTTTTCCAATGAAAAGCAAAGCATTGTTTGGAAAAAAAAAAAAAAGAAAAAAACCCAACAAAACAACAACAACAACAACAAAAAACTAAAAACAAAACAAAAAAAAAGCCAAAAAAACCACAAGGACATTGTATTTGAAATATGTGCTTGGTGACATGGATCTGATTGCCCAAAGGAATCAGGGTACATATATTTGTATTATTGTACACGTGAGTAGCTTGAATCATGTACTGCTCGCTCTCTTTGTTTGGATTATGCAGCTTGGCTGGGCAGCCATCCAAAAGATTCACATTAAATTCTAGCTATATTCAGCACAAAAGTCATCTAGCATCAGAGGATCAAAGTTACATCAACCAACAAGCACTAAGGAATTGATAAGCCACTAAAATTAGGTCATCTCCTAGCAGCTGCTTTTGATGGATGAAGTAGAATTTAGCCTCAGGTTTTCTATTTAAAGATCTGTTACAGCATCTTTTCCTGCAGCTACAATGAGAACACAACAAAGTATAATGCTTCTGATTAAATGTTTAATCATTACTCTTTACTCTCTTCTCTTCTGATTGTTTCTGCCATGGCACAGATTTACTGCACACACTATTTGCAGCTTTCCTAGCCCTTTTTAAACTGACATTAAAACAGTAAAGATTTTTAATTCCTAGGTTGTAAAAACTAAGAGATGATTTTAAAAAAATGTAGATAAAAATCTTGCAAAGCTGTTTACTTATCATACTTAGAGAGATAGATTATCACTTACTGGAACTAAAATGAATCTCTATGCAATTAACCCACTACCGTGTCCACTAGAAGAATCACCACATCCACTAGGAACTGTAAGAATACAAAAGTACATATACATGCAGAAGTACATGTGGGGCTACAGAAATTTTTACATATTTGTGATTTTATTTGTGGCTACCTTTGGGGATATTATCTAATCAATCTAATCAACACATACTTTTAAAGGTATTCGCTAGTGCATTAGGCTATCTTAGGTCATTAGTGACTGGCATGATCGCTAGACAGAGTACAATAGATGCCCTACCAAGACATGCATGTGGTATCAGGGTAATACAAATGGTGCCACCATTAGCAGCTTAGAAGAGAGCCCAGAAGGAAATAAACAAAAGACCCTGAATTAGTTTCATATGCATAGAATCTGCCCTTGTCCTGTTCAGAATATGACCCAGGTCTGTGGGTTGCAGCCTGCACACAAAACCGTTGTGTCATCATCTGCATAAATGAAACTAATGCAGGACTTTGTTGCCAGGTTTTTCAATATGGCATCTCTCATATCTGTTAAAATTGCTAAAATCTAATTTAAATGATTTTGAGAAACACAGGAAGGAAAAAGAAAGAACATCTGCCCAATATAAAAGATGAAGTCAACAGTTTTCTGCCTTTTCAAGTCAAAACATGATGGGGAAGAAAGATTGAAAATTACAGTACATGACAATGTCACATCAGACACGTAACTTAAGTTTCTACAAATGATGGACACGTGTATGCCACTCTATATCAGTCATACTCTCTGCTCCCTTGTGCTAGCCTAGTAAGTGGGCTGTTGCTGGGTAAATTTTCTAAGAGGTGGAAACTCCCTGTGTGTTTCCATTCCAAATTTGGTGTGCCCAGTCTTTATTACTTGAGAAAGCAGCATTAGGCACTGTAGTTCAAAGTCTAGATCTAGCTTTTTCCAGCTACATACCTCTTTTCAGTAGAAAACCTAAACTGAGGCAGAGGGAGAGTATGTAATACGTCTGGAGTAGACAACACATCTGAAAATTTTTCTGTTCACAGAAGAATCTTTATGAGCAGAATGTAAATGAGTTTAATTTATCAGTGGTGCTTAGTACTGCAGTCTGCTTGGATCTCAAGCTAATCAGCTTTCTTTTTTGCTCAGGGCCTCAGAGAAAAAGCCAGCCAGGGAGCCAGCTTGTAGGTGCCTATCTGGCTTATGGAGTAGGACATCTGGCGAGATGGGAATGCTTTGATGCCACATAAATTTCTGACAACCTCAGCTGAAGGCTGTCTGTCATAACATCTGCTGTCTTACTGTGCTATGACCATGCTTTTTCCCTATGCACTGAGCATATCTGATATTATACCATGTAAATCTTAGGATTTCAGTTTTAACCGGCCTAACAAGAAGTGGGAAAAAAGTGCCTTTTTTGCCCTCTAGCTGCCTTCTTCAGCTCATCTTAGCATTAACTTCCTTTCTGCTCATTTGTTTACTAACAGAGTTACCTCATCATCTACTAATAACTGTGTGCTCAAGGCAAATCGGGCCAAAGATGCCAGAACATAACAAGAGTTAGCTTACTTTGTGACACTGCGTCTCTACATCAATCTATGGAAATAAACACAACGCCCTCTATTGTTAAACAAAATACCTGAATCCTTTTCAATGGAGTAAGGCCACATATTATCACTAGGTCCACAAATTTCATTTAACTCAGAATAGAAAAGAATAACATTTGCAGGACAAATTGTATTATCCTGGTCACTTTTTCTGGCAGTGGCTCTGATTTAAAATTAAACATATTACTGAGTATTTCCTGCTTTACAGCTATGCTTATTATTGACAGTGACAAACACAAATGAGAGTGGGAGTTTAGTATACATATTACACTGAGTCTGATACTAATCTCAACATGATGCAACACAAGTATCCATGACCATAAACTAAACCTCGATTGTTAAAGAACTGATCTGAAGCACTTTTAAAAAGTCCAACTGGCCAATTTATCATTTGACAACTCAAAGAATTACTTTTTTTTCTGCTTTTTCTTTGCAAAACATTTAGTTTCAGAAATTTATTTCCTTTCCCCTTTTTTTTCTTTTGGCAATTTGAAGCAACAAATGGTGTGATGATCCGAATTCGGGGATAATCTAATGAAGGAAGAATATTTGCCCTTCTCTTTTGTGCTGCTCCCAGATTTGCCAAATGTCAATATCCTTGAAAAGTTAAATGGGGAAAGAAATGAAGCACCAAAAAAAAAAAAATCACATAAAAAAAAAAATTCAGTGTAGTAATTTCTCTTTTTGTTCCACTTAATGATTAAAAGGGGGAAGGGAAATAACCTTTCCTCATCCCTCCCCATATTTAAGACATTTGTTTGGCATATCTAGAATTTCTAGTTTTGATAAAATGCTGTGCTTGTAAATATTATAGTTATCATTGTTATTTTGATAAATTGTATTTTGTTACTAAATAAAGTGAGGAATAATTGGAAACAGATCAAGTAACATTTTTATGAGCTGTAGTCCTATTCAGGTATGAAAGCACTAGTAGTTGTAGATCATCCCGCTTGCCCACACATGGTTGCTATGCATTATGTTCCAAAACACAAATGCACAAACCTACTGACATGAGTCGGTAAGAAGAGGAAAATTGTTACTTGTTTTCTTAGATGAGAGGACCTGCTTCTTTTAGGCCTCCTTGTCTATGTCAGAAGAGTTGTACGATCCTATCCATGTCTTCTTGGAAGGTCAATGTGTCCTATTTCCACTTAAAGGTCGAGCGTTTGGCAAGGAATGTTCTGATCTTCTAAGAATGAACAAATGTCGTGCAAGATCTCATTACAGAGATCCCTGCTTGCTAGCCTAAAAATCTTCATCGGGCAATCACTGTTTCTTGAGTATGCTTATGAATCGAGAGGAGCTTGCTACTTATGCAGTCTGCAGTACACTGTCCAGATATAAAAATCAGCTACAAGAGGGGAAAAGTGTTTATAGAAGAAAGGAAGATTATACACTGCCACATTTTGATGGGTCACTAATCTAAGAAAGCCATAGCGAAGATTATATGAGGTTTGGTTTGTGGTCATGTGCTCTGAGGAATCAGTCGTGCCAGCTGTCTTTCAGAGAGCACTGTCATTTTCCACACCCATGAACTGCACTGGAGAAGAAAACTGTGAAAAGAATAATAAGACTCACAAAATCAAGCCCTGGAACATGAGCAAATTAAGCAGCAGGATTAGGGTTTTCCACTGCCTTTTAATTGAGCCCCCCCGCCATCCTCCCCAAGCTCAGTTCCTGTGGCCGCGTTTAGTTACACATCTCATACCCACACGCGGGTGCATAATATAAAACATGGTCAGGCATTCTTCTGCTGGAACCTTGCCTTATTCCAGTGAATGGGCAGTTACTTGATACTCATGTTTATCCTACTCATTCAGCATGGGATCTCAGGTGTCATTTGCTGCATGCTTTCAAACCCTACAAGCAAAAGAGAATTTTATCTAGTTTTTACATCGTAATATGTTCACATTGTTTTCTGTTTGGTTTTATTCTTTAAATAAACCTGAATACATTTACTAAAAGTGAGATGTCATTATTTCCATTTTTAGATGCACAAGAAGCCATGTTTCAGCAGGAATAAAATCAAATTTGTCCACACTGTAAGCTAATTTGAGGGGCCAGTTTGAGATGCCAGCTACAGTTCTCAGTACTCGATAGCACTCCATATTTGCTGAACATGGTTCTCACTGCCATCAGTTTCTTCTGTGAGGGTTTAGCATTTCTGCAAATCAGATCAACACCTCTAAACATGGATATTCCTAAATCAAGAACCTAGTCTGCTTCCCCACCTATCCAGGATCCTTCTCTTCACCTGCTATTTCTCACCCTTTCAGTGACTGTATTGCACCAAAACTGCCATCTTCCTCCTCCTACCAGGGCAGTAAGATTTGGACTGTGGGAGGGACAGCATCTCTACTTTTAGGTCTAGTTTTCAGCTCCAGATAACTGCTGAGGGCAGCAATTTCAGGGGAAATTTGCAATGAGAAGTCTCTCTTTGCAGTTTGTGTATATGCGTGCACATGTGTGTAGCAGTAGAAAACCATGGTTTTCCCTTGCCTTTACTCAATATCTTGTCTATAGCTCTCCAATCCCACCTTCTTTTCTATCTTGCAACTTGTTGCTGAAGGCATAGAGCCTGCCTTGGTGTGCTCCACCCCCTTTAACTTTTCCCCCACTGATTCCACAGCAGTTTGGTCTGTGGTTGCCCAGCTAGGACCAAGACCCGTAATTGTGAGTGGTTAAGAATGGTATAGTGAGGCTAATGTGAATAAAACCAAGAAAAAAGAAAAATGTTCACTGAATAAGAAGAAAAAAATATCACTGGCAGGAATTTATTAAAATCTGGACCAGACATCCAAGTGCGATTGTGGGAGGCCCACATTTGACACCCTTGAAACTCAAGGGGATAAAGCATCCATTTTACACGTGCTCCCAGGGGATGATTTGAATGCATCGTACCAACCTTTTACAGCTAAGATTTCTAGGATTAAAACCTACTCTTGTAATGCTTCCAGCACCCTGTACATGCTTTGCCTAGCTGCAGTGGTCAGAAAAGGTACATTCACAGCTACATCGAGGCCTTTCCCACTTAGTTGCAATACCAATGACTATATGAAATATTTTACATGCCTTTTCCTTGCCATATATAGTAATTATTCTGTCATTCATCAAATGTACACAAATTCCTTTTCATATGTAAATACACCATTTGCTTCACTGCTCTAGCCAAACAGTTGTGCAGTTCTTTGTCAAGAAGATAATATATTTAATCATGGAGTGCCTTGTTTCCATTGTATTGAACAGGTGTTGCTTAATGGCACAGCCATTGTAACATTATATTCATTTATTAATGTGAGTGTAACGAACATATTGTAGAGACATGAATGTGCTGGTCTCATAGTTAGGGTTAGTGGTTTCTTATGATGTGGTATGTGTAGGATAGTGGCTTAGATTCAGACTGCAGAGAAGCAGGAGTTCATTATAGCAAGTCCAAGTGATGTGGCTGGTTTTGGCCCTTGTTCACTTTTGAAAAGCAGAGAATACATGAAAGACTTCATTGAAAATGTGCAAGTTATTCAGTGTGGTTAATTCTACATTGGCTTCACTCCCACCTTCTTTCAAGACTCTGTATGCAACCATGCTTTCTGAAACAGCAAAACCAATCTGCAATAGATTCATGTTGCTTTTGGAAACATGCAATCCCTAGTATCCTATTTCATGAAGTGACCTGTCCTCAAATATGACAGAGGAAGTCAATAGGAGATCAGCTAAAACTAAGAAACAATGCTTGCTTCGTTACTGTAGCTACAGCAGCTATGTCCCCTCATTTACTAATTTTTACACATGCTGACATATTTTTAAGTTACTGCTCTGAGTGTTCCGTACCTAGAATTGCAGCTCAGCCAGCTGGTGAAATAGCTACAGTTGCACAGGCAAATCAGGTGAGTAAGTGGAATAGCTTAAGCACCTGATTTTTCTTATTGCGTGAAATCACCCATTTAGCATCAGCCCTCAGGGGGCCAAAATTCACAAATGCAAGTAAATGCCCGCAGTACCCATTTGCTTTATGGAACTCAAGTGCCTACTTCAGTTTGTTTGGACACATGTCTAATTTTTTTTTTTTTTAAAGTGCTTTATGGTAACCGTGATGCCTTGTATCATCATGATGTAGTGCATCGGAAGTAGTGGGTTTTTTTCCTCCTCCATTTTGGAAACACTGCCTTTAAATTTCATTTCACTAAAACAGTATCTTCTGTTATATGACATATCTTAGGTTTTGTATTGACTGGCAATTAAATAATCTAATTCTGTTAATCTCTATTTGACTTCCATCCATAATGCTAACTGGCCCTTTCACATTGCTTTCTATCAGTCAGCCACAAGCACTTACCTAGTAAAGCAAATGACACCATCCCATTAATGATTTTCATTGCTGCTTTCTGGACTCCATCAGTTCCCAATGTTTTACCAAGAACGCAACAAAGCAGCTAAGACATAAAATAAAGTGGTAACGTTATTGAAACATTTTCTGAACTCTTCCTGACTCTTCCTTAAATTTTTACAAGAGATTAAGCAAATGCCATCGTTAAGTTGCCCAGCTTTTCTTCTTACTTAGACTAGAAAACATACTGGCCTCATTTTCTTCTCACCAACACCAGCTTTGCAACCTTCCAACTCCAGTTTCAGCTGAATGACTTCGCAGTTACAACTGAGTAAAGAAGAGAAGAAACTGATTCATTATATGCTTTACAATTTTCTCCCATGGGGCTCAGGATCAAGGCAGGGAGAGTTCAATTTCAGCAGGAGGGGAAGTCACTTCTGCCCTTGTTGATCACAACTTGGGCAGAGCACAGAGACCCTGTGCACAGTGATCCCTCAGCCCTGCAAGCTCTCAGCCTGGGTAATTGTGCTTTGACCTGTCATGGCTATAAAGGGCACAAGAAAAATTTGGACCCTTACCTGAGCCGGTTAGCTGATTTGCCATCTTCTGTTACATCAACTGCAACCATCGTGCCTTTGCTCTCAAACCAGTCTCTATTCTACACCCCAAACCTCCTACTGTGTTCTATCCTCTTAACTCAGGCTAAGTCTTCTTGTTCCTCTCATTTCACTCTCTCTTCCCTGGAGGCCTGACTTCTTCTACAAAAACTGATTTTAGTGAGCTGCCTTCCAAACCTGCTACAGGTTAGAGAAAGAGCATGGGACTCACCATCCAAGGACACACTGGTTCATTTTGTGCTGTAACAGTGACATCTAGCACAGACGCTCATATAGCATTAGAGGTTCCCATCTTGGCCCAGGCCTGACTGGACACCATACAAGCACATCCTGAAATACATCCTCTTCCCAAAGCAATTTGCCTGTCTAACAAAGAGGAATGACAATGGATTTGTTCTGAGTGGGGGCAGGGGCAATTTGCCTACTGTTACAAAACAAGACTGAGAAAACTGGGACCAAAAGCATCTTTCGGCTTCTTGACACAATACAGTGTCTGACAAGCCACGTCAGGCTGTTTTATTTAGCTAGTTTTTAACTGAATTTATTATAAACCAGAATGAATTTTATAACCCGATGGGAACAGTAGCCAGAAGCCAGCTGTG